GTTTGTAATTATAGTTTGTGTCCCCTCCCAGCCTTCTCTTTTCCAGGCGGAACAAGCCCAGCTCCCTCAGCCTCTCCTCGTAGGAGAGATGCTCCAGTCCCCTCACCATCCTTGTAGCCCTGAACATATTATAGAATCATAGAATCATTGAGGTTGGGAAGGACCATTAGGATCAAGTCCAGCTGCAAACCTAATGCTGCCAAGCCAACCACTAAACCATGTCACCAAGCGCCACATCTACACAGCTTTTAAATAGCCCCAGAGATGGGGACTCCACCACTTCTGTTGTCAAGCCTGTTCCAGTGCTTGACAACACTTTCGGTGAAGAAATTTTTCCCAATATCTGATCTAAACCTCCCCTGGCACAACTTGAGGCCGTTTCCTCTCGTCCTATCACTTGTTACGTGGGAGGAGAGACCAACCCCCGCCTCGGTACAACCTCCTCTCAGGTCGTTGTAGAGAGCAATAAGGTAATCGATTGCATGAGGAAAAGTGGGAATAATCAGATCAGGATGGGATATAGTCAGCTCGGGCTTCAAGACAAGAGCTCCCACCAGTGCCAGGCCTGCACTTCTGCATTCCCACATCACTTTTGCCGCTGGGCCATTAAAGTGTCTGGGTCTCCGCACCGAATTTGCATGCTTAGGATGGCCATGAAGTGAAAATCTGACTGCTAGCTCTGCAGCTCACTCCTGAGAAACAGCAGCGGCTACAACCCAGCAGGGCCGATACTCTGAATCCTGAAGCTGAACCACAGACTAGATGTGCTGCTCTGTTTAAATAGCTCTTGTGTAGTCTAAATCTGTATTTTTTGAGGGATGTCATGAAGTTTCTGATGTTCCTCGTATCAATCCATGGGATGCATCAGACCATAAACTCTTACTCCCTTGTAAGAACACCCAGTTGCTGCAACAACTGACCCAAGCCTAGGACAAAAAGAGAAATTATTAAAATATCTTCCTGCCTTATTAACACAGTCCTAAATTTTTGCTCTGCATGTACCTTCTTCTTAATGAGGATTAAGTAGAAAAATTGGTTGGTATTCCTGTTTCAAAAGAAAACAGGGCAAGAAGTAAAAGCCTAAGATCTTAACTTTTTTACAAGGGAGAAAGGTGTTATAATTATGTTAGGGTGTTTAATTTCACCTGTAAAAGACATAATCTATTTTTTGAAGACTTGTATGCTTTTGATATTCATGATACCACTATGACGCTAATTTAGAAGAACCAAAAACTAGACTTGACATTTTTAATTTCACTTTAGAGCTAGCGGAGTTCCCCCCAAAAAAACCAAAGAGTGGGAAGGCTGGAAGACTGGGGACTTCCTTTCTTCTATGGGGATTTCTATCCGGTTGCTGCCTTTCTCAAAATACTGAGTGTTCCCTGTGGGACTGAATAAGGCAACAGGGCTTCGTTATGCCACTAACGGGATACAGCTATGGGATACTGTCTGCCTTGGGCGACTTAAATACCTTGAGCACCAACGCAGGAGAAGAAAACTACCTGCCCTGGAGCAAGGGTTTGCCGTAACAACTGAGTTTACCTGGCAATATTGAGAATAATGCAATTTTAAGACAGACACAAAGGATAAATTGTTGTGTGTGTCCCACTTCCCCCAAAACAGTTCACCAGCAACACAATGCAACGCTCGGGTGCACGATTCACTACTTAGCGGAGACTGCATCTTGACCTGGACAGTTTGCCAGGGAAGCACTTTGCTTTCAGGGACGCGATCTGGAAGGGTCTTTCCTGGGGTGTTTATTTTTATCTTGGTATATCTGGATCGATACTCAGCTCGGACTTTTCCCTCCCTTGAGCACTGCTGAGCTTTGCCAGTGAATTTACTGAACCTTTATGCAGCGAATGACTATTCCGTATAGATTTAGACCTCATAAAGGCCAACTTTTGAAATGCTATTTTTTTCACGTTACATGTTTACTTAATATTACGTGTTTAAAATATCATGGTTGTTACAGCCAGTTACTAGATTTTCAACATCATTCATAGCTAAATATGTCCAAATTTTAAAAAAGCTCTGTTTTCAATAGCTTATAATAAGCTTACCAGTTTTTAGCTATATGCATTAAATCTTGATCTCTGCCTCAGACGTCTGCAGAGATTTTCAGTAGAAGTGGTGGGGCCTTTCTGAAGAAAGCAGGAGCTTGGTAATTATAGAGAGTCCTTACAGCACACTGCAGAGCAGGAATAACTGCATTTCTAGAGGAAGCTTTCTGACTCTGCTTAATTTAAAAGTGATTTTAACATATTTCATTTAAATACCTTAAATTAAAATGCATACATAATGGGGACTAGGAATAATAATTCGGAATAACCAACTGGCTAATACTGTGGTAAATTCAAGCACGTGGTTGCTGTAAAATCATCATCCTTTCTTTTGCTCAGACCTTATTAGAGTTATTTTTTCCACAATGCTTTGGTCTTGTCTCTTCTCCAACGTAGATATCGATGCAAGACCATGGGATTTCCAGGCTGAAGAATGCACCTTGAGAGCCAACATCGAAGCCTTCAACAGCCGGAGGTACGACAAACCTCAGGACTCGGAGTTTGCGCCAGTGGACAACTGCCTGCAGAGCGTGCTGGGGCAGCGGCTGGAGCTCCCCGAGGACTTCCACTACTCCTACGAACTCTGGCTGGAGCGAGAGGTGTTTTCCCAGCCCATTCGCTGGGAGGAGCTGCTGCATTACCAGTGAGAGCGACACCGTCACCTGCCCCCCAGTCCCACCTCAGTAAGGACTCAAGGTGCTACAGGCTGAGGAAAGGAACATTATTTTGAACCTGGGTGTTCTTAAGCACAGCTGGAAAAAAATTACAATCTTTCCAAAGAGACCAAGCCTCTTTGTATCTACCCAGGCACCCCTGAGTATGCAACTGCCATCTTTTTGGAGGTCATCCCCTTCCCGTGACTTCTTGGAGACCATACAGCATCAACAGACCAGCGCAGAGGCCATGGACCAGGTTCCAGCGTCACGCTAGCGGCAGCGTCAAGAGTGAGCTTATCTGGTCTTTACTGCAGATTGACAGCCGTGTACGGAAGTGCAGAGCCCAGGTCTGTCTCTGAGCTTGGTTCATGCATGTAAGTTTGTTGTAAGAGTATCTCAGCTGTGAAAGGTTTTCATCTCTCCCGAATGCTCCAGGCTGTGCCTGATTTGTTTTCACTTTGATTCGGTTATGGCTGTCTGATAATGTGCTTCAAACACCCTACTGCCACGAGCAAGCTGCCCTGCTTCCCTAATGAAGCTGAAAATAAGAAAGACGTGGCACTGTCTGTGACGGTCTCAATCAGAGGCGACAGGTTGACTTGGCCAAAGGACATGACGTACCTTTTGTCCCCGGGCTGGCATTGCTGCTGCTGGGATTGCACAACCTGACTGACAGAGGCTTGCTTCCACAACTGACAAGTTTTGCATCATTCACCAAGGATAAGAAGCCATTACCTTTTCACCGCTCCACTTTCCTCCCCCACTCCGTTCACTTACCATTTGTATTAGAGTAGAAGGATTGGTACGCTGTGCCGTGTTTTGAGCTGTAGAGGAGGTTGACCGCCACATTTCTCTCACCTGAGTGTTTTTGAAGGATAATTACTGCAACATTAGGTTTCCAGGTAGCTTTCATCATTGCTCTTTAGCCCTTCTAACTCTGGAGAAGACAGTAAATGCCACAGTAAATAACCTACTTTTTACACAGATTTTTGGTTATATTTGGAAGAATGTTTGTGCCGAGTCTTCAAGAAGGGAGGAAAAGTGCTTTGGGTGACAAGTTACTGCCACGATGTGAGGAAAATAGCAGACACTGTGGTCCTTAGCTTTCAGAATGAACAGCATATTGAGCTGTAAACTTTCAATAAGGGCCATGCAAATGCTACACTTGGGTAAAGCTGCGTTGCGTGAGGACGCAGCCAAAGGCAGCCTGGAAACCTTCGTGTCTGGGTGGAGCTGTGGGTGACCCAATGAATGAATCTCAGCCCTTGGTACGGTGTAGGGGTGACAGACCCTGCTCCTTTGCCAAGGGCCCTGCCTGAGGGCCGCACCGAAAAGGCAGGCTGGGCTTCACGGTCAGAAGTATTATGACAGAGCCTGCAAACTATAATATTTACAAAACTGTATCAGTCCAGCACAGGGAATCCTGGGTCTAACCTCCTCCCGCCATGAAACCAGGAGTTCGGCTTTTGTCAAAGAAGTATGTGTTAGTATGGAGCAGGCAAGCACTTACGCCATCCTATTACTGATTTATCAAGCACATAAGTGATAAAACCACAAGTATTTGTTATGACAGGATTTGTGCTTACTGCTGAGGAATTAAACTGAGAATGTTTCCTTAATATGGTTTGTAAAATGTGTTTTTTCAACGAAATAGCATTAGTAAACCCGCTCACCTTTTTAAATATGCTTTTGTTCAAAATAAAGCAGAGCAACTTTTAAAGCACAGACATTTACTTCAGCTTTTTTCCTCCTGCTCTGTAATTTAAATGCTTGCTTTGCTGTTTTTCTTTTAAGAGACAAAAAATCCCCTCACAAACCAACTCATAAACTCACCTCTGACCCCTGCCCGTCTCCACTCTCTCTCTGCTGAGGAAAGGCTTTCTGTCTGACATACTTTGGGTGTTCTTTTGTGAAGCATCTACAGAAATCTAAAAAAGAAAAGCAGAATTATGGGCTGTAGATGTCTTCACAGTGTTTGTGCTTGTTAAAAAATAAAAAGTTATTTAAAAATAAATAAAGCCCCTCCAAGCACCAAGGCATGAAAAACAGAGACATGCAATCCATAATGAAAGCATGGTGCTGTCTTTAGGGATCCCAGAAGTGGGAGAGCTCTGTAGATCGAGACAAGTCATTTCAGCCTCTGTACTTTAGTTCTTTCTGAAAAATGGCACCTAGCATTTCCCTGTGTTCCCTAGAGCATACTGGTAGTACATAAACTAAATATTAAACATAAATCAATTAATGAACCCCAACTAGAGATGGCAAACATCTGAAGAGTCTGTTAAATATTTAAGTAGTAGAAATGCAGTGTAAATATTACCATTTTCAGCATGTACTAGGGTGCAGAGCCCAGGACTACCTAGAAAGTTCAGGATTTTCTCTGTGATGTTTTGTCTTGTGTTTTCCTACCCAATGTGCAATCTCCCCCTCAGGCCAAGGTCCTGGGAATTTAGTTGCACCTCTGCGTGGTATCACGTAGCCTGACACAAGGGACACCTCTCCAGCACTGTTGGCTCCTTTTTTCCTTCCTTCACATGGTGACCCCACACTGAAAGAGTCTGGAGTGGTTTTTCTGGTTAACCCTATTACACCCCGTGCTTTATGATTCCTCTGATATTCTCTGGTTTAGAGCGATTTAGAAAACAATCTTAATTCCCCAACAACTAAATGCACATGTAAAGGAAGTACTATCAATGCATCCAAATCCTTTTAGTCTTTATAATAAACTATGGTCATGAAGGTAAGTGTTTCTTCAGTGGGACAAGGGAATGAATGAATTACGGAAGAATCACAAACTCAGAAAAGCCCTGGGTATTTGGCTCAAAACTTTTTTTCCCTCCCAAGTGTCTCGTTCCCACAATGTTCATGTCAAACAGAATGACCAGTACCTACACAATGTACATTTTTTCTACATTTTATATTTAAATTGTGCTTCATGTAAGGTTTCCACAGCTTTTCAGTGTCTTCTAATTTTACTGAGGTAGAGAACTGAAATACAAATTCTTACCTGAATGTCTGTGTGGTAGAGGATGGTATAAACTCTTTGAATACAATTTATTTCCATCACCACAAGTTACACTTCCTAGAGATAATGCCTCTATACAGAAGGAACCTCTGGGTAAAAAAGTAACTAGGGAAAGGTGCGGCTTTTAACTTAAATATTTTGTGTCTCATCACATATTTGTCACAAAGACTGCACTTCTATTGAGACGTGCCACATTTAGTGAGGGTATCTTCTGGAAAGCTGGAACACGTGGGTTTCAGTTCACGCTGACACAGACTGCTGGCCTCGCTGCGCAGTGCTCTGCACAGCAGCTGTGGGGCTGAAACGCCAGTTTAACAGGAATAGAGGGACCCTCTACTTTAGTAAGTTTATTCCACTTACAAACAGATGCGGGTAACTCAAACAACGTAATACTTCAAAGGCTTTCCCTCGAGGTGTTTGAGCAGTATATTAACTGGGGCCCCCTAGAAAACTCCCTTACCAGTACTTCGGACAGTCCCAGATGGTGCTTCTCTAGCAGTACTAGAAAAGACTCCATCCTCCTATCACACTTCTCAAACCGCAAGCAGGTAGCAGTTTAAAACATCGTTGCTTCACAGTGAGGATTTCCTGCTCCTTAAAAAAATCTCAGAAGACCTAGGAGACAGCAGTTATGAACTAATTATTTTGATGTATAGCAAGAAAGTTTCAGAACAAAGTTTCGGGTGGTTTCTGTGCAGCTGAAGGAACATCTGTTATCTTACCCCAAACATGACTGTCGTTTCCAGGAATGCACCAGGGTTCTCAGTTTCTGTTGTAATTGGTACATGCAGGGCTTTTCTTTTTTCAGCCTACAGGTGGTTGCTGAAAGTTTTGCTGTTGGCAAGTCATTTTATTCAGTACGTCAGTACAGATTCATCTATTTTTAGCCTTGTTTCCTAGGGATATAAGGCACATGCAATTAAGCTATTAGTTTCTCGGTCCTCTATAAGCAATTTTCAAACTGGTTAGCTAATTTCATGCAAATTTGAGTGACAAAAGGCCTCAAAGATATTCAGTTCCTTTCAGAGTTGTGAAAGTTGGCAGCTAGGTAGAGAGCGACCCTGTTAACTCCCCAGCCGAGGCGAAGGCGAAGAACGTGGCTGTAAGGAAAATTCACTAAAAGAGAATTGTTTCTGTTTTAACCGAAACGAGGACGGTCTGGCAGAAGGCAGCGAGTGCCCGTGTGATGGCTGCGGATCTGCGTGTGCCTGGCGGATGCTGGGGC